ATAAATGCAAGACATGCGCGCCCACACACACACGCACACGCACGCACGCACGCACGCACGCACGCACGCACCCACACACACACACACACACACACACGCACACACGCACACACGCACACACGCACACACGCACACACGCACACACGCACACACGCACACACGCACACACGCACACACGCACACTCGCACACTCGCACACTCGCACACACGCACACACGCACACACGCACACACGCACACACGCACACACGCAGACACGCACACACGCACACACGCAGACACGCAGACACGCAGACACGCAGACACGCAGGCACGAAGGCACGCAGGCACGCAGGCACGCAGACACGCAGGCACGCAGGCACGCAGACACGCAGACACGCAGACACGCAGACACGCAGACACGCACACACGCACACACGCAGACACGCAGACACGCAGGCACGCAGACACGCAGACACGCAGGCACGCAGGCACGCAGGCACGCAGGCACGCAGGCAGGCAGGCAGGCAGGCAGGCAGGCAGACAGACAGACAGACAGACAGACAGACAGACAGACAGACAGACAGACAGACAGACAGACAAACACACAAACAAACACACAAACACACAAACAAACACACAAACAAACAAACAAACAAACACACAAACATACAAACAAACAAACAAACAAACAAACAAACAAACACACAAACAAACACACAAACAAACACACAAACAAACACACAAACACACAAACAAACACATAAACACATAAACACATAAACAAACAAACAAACAAACACACGCACGATGCACCCCGAAAACTATTTAAAAATTATATAACTTTTCCCGTACAATTTATAACACCTTCACATTTTTACAAGATAATAATAATAAATATTCCAATACACTCTATTTCAGACTTGCTTAAAATATGAATTTAAGGGGGTAAAACACCCCAATTACTATTTAAAACTTTATAACTTTTGTCATACATATTTCAGATTTGACAAAAATTAGAATTTAATGGGGTGAAATACCACGAAACATTTAAAAATTTATAACTTTTTTCGTACAATCTGTAGTACCTTCCCATTTGACAAGATGATATATAATAGAAAATAAATATTCCAAGATGACTTTTCCGAATTAACCAAACTATGAATTTAAGGGGTGAAACACCTCAAAAACTATTTACAACTGATATAACTTTTGTCATGCAACTTGTAACACCTTCAGATTAGACAGAGTGGTAGGAAATAAATGTTCCAACATACCCTATTTCAGATTTGAAGAAAATTAGAACTTAAGGGAATGAAACACCCTGAAAGCTATTTAAAAATGTATAACTTTGTCGTACAATCTATAACAATTTCCCATTTGCAAGATGAGAGAGAAAATAAATATTCCAAGATACGCCTTGTATGATAAAAGTTGTATTAGTTTTAAATAGTTTCTGGTGTGTCAAATCTGAAATAGGATATGTTGGAATATTTATTTTATACCATCCTGTCTAATCTGAAGGTGTTATAAGTTGTATGACAAAAGTTATATTAGTTTTAAATAGTTTCTGGGGTATTTCATCTCCTTAAATTCATATTTTAGTCAAATCTGAAAAGGCGTATCTTGGAATATTTATTTTCTATCGTCTTATCAAATGGGAAGATGTTACAGATTGTATGACAAAATTTATAAACTTTTAAATGTTTCGGGGTGTTCATTTGATATCCAACATTGTATGGCTGAATCCCCCTACCACCAGATAAGCACGGGGACCCGTTAACTGAGTTTGCTGACTGTACGGGAGCCAGGGGCGTGCGGTGAGTTTTGATACAGGGGAAGCAGTTTGTGATATAGAGTGATGGGTAGCGCGAGGCCCCGAGCGAAGCGAGGCAAAAATTATTTTAAGAAAAGGGCCGTGGCTTCCGTATACTCATTTTAAAGCAAATGTCGAAAGCTGCAAAGTTATGATACTAGAAAAAAGTACACTTGTAGGACCGCAAACATAAAACATAAAAACACCACAAAAATTAGACAACCCCCGATTCCAAAGCCGAAGCTGCACGGGCGAGGGTTACACTTATGAAAAAAACGCAGACACACAACCATATCCACCGACATTGCCAGCGTCGGTGGCGAGGATTGAACCCTCAGCGAAATAGAGAGTTTGTTCAGTCACACTAGCCATCGTGCACTCTCTAGCCAACTATAAATTGAGCCAGCTAGTTAAGTAGTTAACATGCACATACCTACCTATTTACAATGTAGTTTAATCCGCCTCTCATTTTTTGCGATGTCGGAAATAACTTCGTCGTAAAAGTTTGAATTTTGGGAGATCTCCTTCACAAAGTCACTTTCTATTGTCAACAGGGACAATTTTGAAAGCCGCTCTTCGCTGGTTGAATTTTTTTGAAAAAGTTTTTATTCTCGTGTCCGTTTTGATGATTTTGAAAAAAAGGCAGCCATTCCACTAATACTTGAAAAAAAATATTTTGCACTCTTTAAGACACGCTGCAGATTGAGCTAGAACTAAATTTAATCGATGCGCAACACAATGTACAAATATTGCATTCTGAAAAGTCTCTTTTACTTTGGCCTGCAGGCCCCCCAATTCACCAGCCTAGCGGCCCCATCATAACTTTGGGCGATAAGTTTAGTACCACACTGTAGATCATCGACTATCTGACAAACTATAGTATATAAAGCTGCGGCCGTTCATGGCGTTGTTACGTCTAAAAATCCTAAAAAGCGCTCTTGGACTTTCCCCATTTGGATTTATGTAGCTACGATTGACAACTGACTAATATTCGTAATATCGGTTGCTTCATCTAACATAACTGCAACAAAAGGAGCTTTTTATTTCTTGCTTGATCTTTTCTAAAACAATATTGCTTATCGACTGAATCAAATCATTTTGAATATGATTTGATGTACCGCGAAATATCGTGGAGTGTTCCAGATGGTTATTTAAAATTGTATCGTATTTTGCTAATAAATCAACTAAATTGATAAAATTGCCCCTATTTAGCAACGCTCCGAGATTCAGTATGACCTCTAAAACTAAGTTCATTTTCGCCGAGAAAACAAACAATGTCAATAAGTCTTTTTTTAACACTTTCTTTCAACTGCTGATCTAATGAATGCTCAATTCGTGATTTTCCAAATGTTTATTCTTTTAGCACCGCTCGCAAATGAGTTTCACACTTACCATGCCTTTTTATCACTTTGTGAATGTTGTTTAAATCTAAAAAGCCATTTTTATTCCAAACACCTTTTTCATTTGTGAACAGTACACATGGCCAACAAAATAATTTACACAAATTTTCACAACCCGTTAACCACTGATTAGCACTGTACACTTCAATATTAAAGTACCTATAGCATGATTTAACTTTCGTTTTTAAGAGTTTTAAATCAGGTGTTGGTTTCCCGTTTCTAATAATATCCAGTTTATCTTGAAACGAATATGTTGAAAATCCCCTTTTCAACAAATTGCACACCACACAAACGCAAATAATATTTTCCACAGTGCTAGGAACAGCTTCTAAATTTAATAAGTAATTCTAAATCTGCTTACACGCGCACTAATATTCAACGTTTTAAAAATCACTTGTCGCCGCACCACAGGTTTAGAAACATCAAAAAAGTTTTTACAAATATAGCACAAAAGCTGAGAATAATATTAGGAAGATTAATATTAAGTATAATATTCAAATCGATATTAAAATCTATAAAATAAAACGTATTACGATTCTATACAGCTCAGATATCAAGATTATGAAGTGGGGATTGGACGTATTTCAACAGTTACCTATACCTACATCAGAGAGTTGTCTCAGCTTACATATATCGAAGTCGCGCGAGTTCGTGTTGGCTCGATTAATCGAGTGCGTCATCGTTACGGTTTTATCATGCAACATTATCTCAGCTGCTGAAAAGCAGGGCCGTGTCTATTGAAATTGGGTAAAAGTAAATTTTAATGATTAATATATGTGATAAATAATAATTAGGTTCTAATTATGTGTTTTTTTTTAATAATCCCAGGGGAAGCACTGCTTCCCTTGCTTCCATGGACCGACCGCCACTGACGGGAGCCATTTTAACCTACTGGGGACGGAGCCCTAAACACGGGGGCACCTTGTGAAGCACCTTTGAATTGACGATTGCCACCTCGAAGTGACAATTCAACGTATCTAAAAAAAAAAAAAAAAAGATGTTGGCCCTTCTACGCCTTCGTAGTTTCGAAAAGAGCTCTAACAGCAATATTTTGATAACAATTCTTGTAAGGAAATAATGTACACAATGATTTACACTGGATTTTTACGTATTATAGTTTTACATGATCTCATTGAATAGAAAATAAAAGGTATTAACATAGATTGAATTAATTCAACATGAGGTTTCCATTACGTTGCAAAACAGAGAATTCATCAGATTACCTACCTATGAAGTAAAGCGTGTTTTGTTTTTTTATATACGACACGATCGAATTGGTTCAATCGTGGATGTAAATGTGAATAATATTCATTAAAAATTTATATATGTCGGTGGAAGAAAATTATTGCTTTGCCTGTTTAAATAATACGGTAGGAAAGACAATCGTAGAACATCAGTTATTATGATTAATATCTAATCATGTTTCCAAGCAAACTTATCGACTACCTAATATAATTTTATATTTATTAATTCAAAACTGAATTATACAGAAAAACAGTTGTAAGGCAGTAGCAGAAAACACACATTTTGTACTTCAAAATGTGGACCTAATACGTAAAATTTATTCTTTTTAGTAAAATGAAATCATTGACCCACAAATGATTTGTCTCAATAATTTTTAACAGTTTGTAGAATTATCATCTTATCCCAAAAGAAATGTCAGATGTCTTTCTATGCTAAAAAGAAATGTAAAGTTTTGGCTCGTTTTTCTGTTTTTATGTATTATAACCCCCGGAAAATCCTAGGATTTTGTGTTTAGTAAAGAGAGATGAGGCCCTACAGTTTATTGTGAAGTCCAAAATAAATTACAAATAAAATTCCAGGATGGAATCGAACCATCGACTTTCGGTACCTAGTAAATATATAGCTGTAAGTGCTTTACCCACTCAGCTATCAGTGTATTTGCATAAAGACAAAATAATATGAGAATAATGAATTATATTTATTGATTAAATTGGCTAACCTTTTTCACCTTTCCTATTTTACATAACTTGTAGCAAAATCTTTGCTTGTAGGCAATATCTGCAGAACCGGACTAGATTTAAAAAAGGCGCGGGCATCTGGTCGCCTAGATGCGGTAAAATTTGTGATGGTGAAAAAAAATACCTTTACCTATTTATTTATATTGTTTTCTATTGGGAAAACAAACGAAAAATATAAAAAATTTAACGTGTATATATTTTTTTTTACAATGTACAAAATCGGCTGAAAATTTTAATTTTTAAAACCATCTTTTGTTCTTAAAAATACAACTAAAAAAATATAAAAAATGGATCGGTAACATATTTTATCAAATTTTCATATGTGCTATGAGTTTCTGTCTTATCATAATGGATATAAGGGGACGCTACAAAGTCACGTTTTTTTAAATGGGACACCCTGTATATTTTTAGATATTTCGATACCCCTTTTCCTCCATTATAAATATATGATCATTATACATGTCATCTTCAAATAACAGTTATTAAATTAAATAATATTCTTAGAAGTTCAAGATACAAAAATTGTTGTTTGAATAGATGTTGGCCATGCACAAAACAATAAATGAATATTAATCGTTGAACTGTCAAATTAAGTTTTATTGTCGGTTTTGAGTTTTTTTTAAATCCTTCCAGGTCCGCCTAACTGATACAGTCACGGTGACACTGAAGCCAAGGTTATTTGTACCCTTCCGGTAATTCCTACATTGATAATTAGCCGATACAGTTCTATGACCGATCTGTGTGCAAGTATTCTCATCCATTTTTGTTTTCCCAAAAATGTTTTGTCTTTTGCTGGCCAGTGCCTTGCACTGAAAAAATATATGTTCCGCTTTTTCCGGCGCCTCTCGGCAATGCTTGCATCCCAAGTCACCTACAGCCCCATTTTTTGTAGATAATTGTGGCCCACTTGCCTAGTAAAATCAGTAGCTACTACTACATGTCCTGGCACCCAGATCAGTTTGACTGTATTCCATTCTGCCAGGGCCTTGAGTTCTAGGCTTTTGAGGTCACTTTACAACATTTTAGTGCCCTCAGTGACGTTTGACTGTCTGAGACAATATAGTAGATGTGATTGTTTGTGTAAGCTCTCCTTAAGTTTTCGCAAATACACTGTAGAATTGCGTATGTTTCGGCCTGGAGTATTGTACTGTGATTCCTAAATGCATAGCTAAGGCTTGCTCTTGGGTTTTCACTATGTATACCAGACCCTGTTCCTGTTCCAGTTCCCTAACCGTGCTGTTTACCCCTTACTGTAATGGCTATGTTGTCAGCATAGGCTTGGATGGTAAATCATTTTCTGCTAAGTATCTTGACAAGATTCCACAAGAAAGGGGCGCCCTCGCCACTTGAGCTCCAAGAGTCTCGCCATGCATAGATGTGACTACCACCCTACGTTTGAGTATGTTCGCGAGTGGAGTTGATCTCACGTTCTCTGGCAGCCCTAGAAATTGATGAAAAAGAGGTGTTGTCGAAGGCCCGTCGATACACAGCCCAGCCTCCTTTTCCCTCAGCGTCTCCTCCATCCGCCCGATTAGATGGTGGAGTGTTATTTCTATTGATTTTCCTGCTTGGTATGCATATTGGTCTAAGTACACTGGTTTCGTAACCAGAGTACTGTCGTTAATGTATCTGTCCTGCAGTTTTTCCAAGATCTTAAGTACAAAACACATAAGACTGATTGACCTTAGGGATTTGGCTTAAGAATGAGAAGCTCTCCGGGACATGGGTATAAAACCACCCTAATATGTTTCCATACCTTTGGTATGTATCCCAGAACCAGATTGGATCTATGTATTGTACCAAATTTGTCTAGCATCAGGTCAGTTCTCTGTTGCATGTTTTGATTACTACTGCTACTACTAATCAAATAATGTTTTGTACAAAAATAAATTATTAAAAATGCCCTTGTATTCCGTAGAATTTGATAATCTATTAAATGTGTATTTTGTTTCGGATGGAAATATAACTAAAGCCAAACATTTATACCAAATAAAATATCCCCATGCAAGATGTCCACATAAAATTTATTTTGATTATCTTGTAAAAAAAATTTGAAGTTCGTTGCATGGCACTCAAGAAATTATAATGCAAATGAAGAAAGAATATTCTAAGTATTCTATTACATTTTACCGAACGATCCTCAAAATCTGTTATGGATGAAGTACGAGATCTTGATATGTACTATAGATATATTCAAAATGCACTCAAAAAAATCTGAAAATCGGTTGACCCTGCAGGCCATCCCTGAAACTTTCCGCTATTTTCGAGCTTAAAGCGCTCAAAAATATACGTATTAGTTAATTTTTGAGCTCTCCGAGCTCAAAATGTTATACACATATTTTTTTGAGCTCTACGATTAGGTGAAAAATCTCGAAGTTATATTAAAAAAACACTTTTTTTTGTAATTTTTGAACTGAGATATATTTTGACAAATTAACCAATCGAGATGCAGTTTGCAGCATTCAACGCAGTTTTTCAAGTACAAAAAGTTATGTTTGTAACAAAAAACGATCCGACAAAAATTTTGAATGTTATTTCAAAAAAAACACTTTTTTTGCGAATTTTCTTGAACGAATCAACCGATTTTGATGCGGTTTACGGCATTCAACACAGTTTTTTAAGTACAAAAAGTTATCTTGGTACCAAAAATAGATCCGACAGGAATTTTGAATGTTATTTAAAAAAAAACTTTTTTGCGAATTTTTTCGAACGACTCAACCGATTTTGATGCGGTTTGCGACCATTGACGTTGTTTTAAAGGAGAAGAGCTGATTAGATTTTGAAATTGATCAGTTCTGTAGTCTAAAAGATATTCCAAAAAAACAAATTTTTGAAAATTTAATTTTTGAGATTTCTCAAAATCTACCAGGCCGAATCGGATTTAACACACATACATACAGCCATATAGACACCATCGTGGGAATAGTCAGAATAGCTTCTTAGTACCTCAAAACGTTGAGATCTGACAAAAACTCGATTTTCGAAAATCGGGGTGAAACCAATAACTTCCCGATTTCTGAAAATTTTCAATTTTCTTAGCGGGAAGTTAAGAAAATTAAAAAATTAAACTACATAAATTTAGTGGTCCAAAAATTTAACGATTAAGAAAAATTTATGTACTTTTGCAATGATATATTAACACAAATAGAGCAAGGTAATAATTTCATTACAAACATATATACTTGTATATCAAAAAATATAAGAGGATGTACTATTTTACGTGACTCATATCACATACGAAAACTTGGTGAAATATGCCACCGATCCACTGTTTATATTTGTTTCTAGGTATATTTTTAACAGTAAGAAATAGGTTTAAAAAGTAGAATTTTCAGCTGATCACACACAAAAAAAATAAGGGATCAAAGAGGTATTAGAAAAATATATTAAAGAAAACAAATAGCCAACTCTTAACATATAGTGGTAGTATTAGTATTGTCGCTAAGAATTCGATCATGTTTTGGTATTATTTTACAACAATCGTTGAAACAGGCCCTGAATATATATCCACTATGTTTTTTTTTGTCCAACATCTTGCAACTGAGAGAACAATTGTTCACTGTATCTGCGAGAAATAAACACGCGACACTAACAACCCAATAAATTCATGTAACTTGCTATGCTGCATATTATTACTGGAATATTGAAAAAAAAACGAAAATACACATAACATAAAAATTATCACAATCACTGTAAACGTACCTACAGATACATGTACGTCATACATGTCTAGACATGAATGAACACGCTTTCATGTAAGCTAGTGTGTAGCACAATTTCAGTTAAAAGTCAAAATTTTTTTCTTGGTGGTTGAAAAGAATTGTGTGTGTAGATAATATGGACACCATGTACATGAACGCGTGTACATGAGCGTGCATTCATATATTAAGAAATATACGTGTGTCTGTAGGCACCTTAATACTGAATTTAAAAGAAAAGAACTATTTAAAAAGAAATAAGAAAATTTTCATAACATAACCAAACATTAAAAAAAAATATATAGCAGCAAGTTTTAGTATATCAAATTAAAATTAGTTTTTGTGTATTAAAAATTAAGACATGATACATGTTCCTTATGTTTATTAAAGATAAATAAATATATTATTATAAATACGGTATGAACCATAACATTTACATTAGTCAGGGAGTAATAAAATATATTATTTCTTTGATATCAAATGTACTAATATGTATTAATTATAGCTATAAAAGTAGTATATAGCAAGCAGAGGAAACGAAGTAATAGTAAATTTTATTTTATGTTATAAAGGAAATGGAAAAATAATATATTATCATCTATTGACTTGTTTTAGTCTGTTTGATTATATCTCCGAGTATTGATATCAAAACTTTTTTGCCTAAAACTTACAAACAAAATTGCAATATGTTCCAAGCCTATGACTGCATTAGAAATCAAAATTATTGATTCAAAATAATAGTGTTAAAACTTTTGATATCAAAGAAAATAGAAAATTCTGCCGTCCAACAAAATTTCGTATTTCGGTGTGGCCCTCTCGGAGAAACTTTGTATTTTTCGACGGTATTACTATTTTTTTTTGTTGTTTATTATACTGCCTATGGTTTTCCTGAAAAAATAATAACTATAACCACATAAAAAAGTAAGAATATAATTTAATAAATTTATGGCACGTACTTCTACTTCTTGCAACTGAGAAATAGCTCGTAGGTAATTCATTGATATCTGCCTCCCATACGTAAGTTGACATGATCAATGCCAATAACATAAATAACTTAATAAAACAAGTTTGTGTTTAATAAAATATTTAAATAATTTTCCGTACATTTGCGTGTCATAATACTCGTGTTGTCTAGTGTTTGTATTTATCTCTTCAAACGGATTGATTACATCATTATGATTACCCCGTGTACTACAATATTCTAAATTAAATATCGATTGCAGAGT